CTAAGAATCTTAAATTTTGAACTTAACGGAAGGGATTAATTGACTAACTTAGGTACTAGAAAACTTGATAGGGTAAGTGATGAACAACATTAAAATCAAGAGGTCTTGAATCGACTCAAGAGCAGAGAGAACACAATCTATACATTGGGGGAGGGGGTGTTAGGTCTGATAAATAAGTTAAGGATTGGTCACACTTTGACGCTAAGCACATTCATGCCGTCGAAAGGACTGGTGATCGCAGTGTGGGAGAATGAGGAATTCCTCGCAAACCTCTCGGGAGGGTGGCATCTTACTAAAGTTTTGAACAAGCAGTCTGGAAAAGGTTTCAAGGAGTACGCGAGTTCCACGGTTCAAAACCCGTGAAATCGCAAGGAGTGCTACTATAGTGGCGTGTGCGTCATTCTTATAACGCACATGGGATACAAATAAACCACCACCAACTGCGACCTGAATCTTAAAAATGTGCTAGTTATCAGCATGTCCATTCGGGACAGTGTTGGCTATTTGTTAGTGTATTATTATTAGGTTAATACAAGCCAATGGAATGAGACGCAATTTCCGGCTTGAATGAGAGAAGACGTCGAAAAGACCGAATACGAAAGTCGACCGGCCCATCAATTGCTTTGCCTAGCGATAACGCCGTATCCCCAGATCTGAAGAACTTGAATGACTGATATTGGGAGCTGAAATTGAGGCTGATAATGTCTGAGCATAGGGACCGGCCACCCACAAGACGTGGCCAACACCAGGACCAGCACGTCTAAATACAACCCGAAATACCAACATGGTTGAACCAACAGAATTGAAGATGAGTTTGCGAGCATACGTTGCTCACTCCAGTGCAATCACATTGGAACGGGATACTGTTGAACATGTCAGAGATTGAAAAATCAATATAAGTTAGTTGTAAAGCACAGGCGGGTCCAGGACGGAAGGGCGCGAAAAGTTGCGTGTGGTTAGTCAACCTTTTAACCACGGCAAGCGCGAACCCTGAATGACGTTCTTCTGGACGCATTAGGTCAGTTTTCGTAACCTGAATGCGGTCGCCTCTGCTGTAGCTAACAGTCGCTGGCCCAATAGCTTAAGATAACTGGAGGGGATCTTTTAAATCACACGAGAAGAATCGCCGGATCCACTTGATGCGCTGAATCAGCCGCATGCGCAAGAATGGGGCTGCTTGTGCTCCTTGTTTCGCCTTTTGCCAGCCATGCGGGAGGTGTTCTCGTGTTCTTTTGGATAGACGCAAACCATAAAGACAAAGGTGGCCTGAGATTAAACGCCGAAAAATCAAGAAGTGAGAGACAAAAAAGCTCCCACAAATTTTGGGTGCTGAATCGACTGTACCGTAGCGATGGCGTTTGTGGTCTCTGAACACTATGGCCGGTCTCACCAGCTGTTCCTCAACGCCTCTACTTTGACTATCCCCAACTTCATGAAAGGAATTTGACGTCCGATAATCTCCGATACCGTGCAACCTCCCCCCTTCTTGACGGTCGATATTCTCCCACCGCCGGCTTTTTTTTCTCCTGAGCCCCCCAAACTACAAAAACCACCATCAACTATATTTTTATCCCTTAAGCTCAGGAGTTTTTTTCACTGCTGGTCGGATTTGTGTTAAATCGCTTCCCTTGACAATGCCTGTAAACTGGCATTAAATAAAAATTTATTTATTCAAATAAGAGGAAATGTTTTAACAGAACTAAGCATTTACTGTTTGCCACCTTTTTCCCACCGATTTCGTAGAAATCATTATACTCCATGTGACGTAATAGTCTGTCGTGTTTTGAAGCATAAGTTCATGAAACTTCGCTAATAGATTTTTCTCGTTGCATGTAACCTGGTGAAGAGTGGGACGGGTGAAATTGTCTGGTTAGGCGCTCTAAGTAAGCTTTGTGAATTCCTTATGCTTACAAACCGGCAGTTTCGTGTCTGCCGTGTGCTCCCCTTCCCTCTCCCACAAATAACGCCCATTGACTTCTGTTTAGGCTAAAACATATTTTCTTCGTCTTTGGGACCAACTTGCTTTACTGGCTTACTCATTTTCCATATACGTTCACCTTGACTAACATTTGACCGAATACATGAGATTAGCAACCCCTAGTAAGCCTAAACATGTGTCTAAGTCAAAGGCAAATCCAATTGCTGTCTCAGCCACTCGGACACCCAATAAATCCAGCACCATTATAAAATCTTTTCCTCTACAATCTTTTCCTCCTCCTGCTAACAGTGCCTCAAATACCCCGACTCAAAACGTAGCGGGTTCGCAACTGCCCCCCAGCCCTCATATTGAGGCATTTAGGCCGAATATGCCGATTTTTCCGCCGTTTAATAAAACTCTTGCTCCAATGGAAACAATGCGTCCCCCACCCCCTAACTTGCTTCCTCCACGGCCGTTTTACCAATTTATTCCTCATGATAATGTCCATACTGAATCAGTAAATTCATCCGATCCTCAGTTTCATTGCGGCGGGAATACGTTGCAGTATCTGCCCCGCGGATTTCCAGCTGAAAATAAGTTAGCTAACAATAATTACCAGTTTATCTGCCCGTCATTCCCTCCCCCAAGTCCTACCCCTTTTTATCCACGTCAGAATTTTTTGATGCCACAAAATTTTTTGCAGAACCGGATGGTTGCATCCGGACCGTTTGCTCCGTGGCGACCCAGAACTGGACGATGTAGCCCACCTCCCTCAAAAACTAACAGCCATTCCCTTCAAACTTTTTGTTTTAAATGCCAGATCCTTGCTTAATAAGATGCCTTTACTTCAGACTCAGGTGTTCGTCCATTGTCCTGATATTGTTTTAGTAACTGAGACGTGGGCATCAGCCTCAGTAGCTGACTCCGAACTCTCCCTTCTAGGCTACAATTGCATTCGAAATGATCGCAAAGATAGCCGTGGTTGGGGCAGCTACGTCTACGTGAAGCAAACACTTACATTTTTGCCGTTGGATCTCCCGCACTTTTCCGCAGTAGAAGGCAGCTGCTGGCTCCAGGTTGCACTAAAAAATAAGTTCTCCTTACTCATTGGCTGCGTCTATCGCCCTCCCAACGCCAATGACAATTTTGATCGTTTACTCTCACAGGCATTTCATGCTGCGGCCGACTTAAGCTATAAGTATCAACTGGTTGCGGGTGACTTTAATCTCCCTGAAGTCCGCTGGTCTCCGCCTTCAGGCCCAAGAAGGTTCGATGACTATCCTGAGGCTGTGGATGTTGGGATGTGGAATCAGGTTATCGATTTTCCCACACGAGGCTCAAGTATACTTGACCTAATTTTCTGTAGAGGCTGCTTGCCATCGTCAGTGTCATCCCTAGGCCCACTCGGGGGCTCAGACCATGACATAGTTGTTTCAACGTTGGAATTCGAGGCTGACGAAATGTCGTCCCAAAAGTATAACTTTTTCCGCGATTTCCGATCAACTCGCTCAACCGAAATATTAACACACCTTAATTCCTACGACTGGACCGATTTCTTCCTTAGTTCGGATGTAAATGTTTGCACTGCAAATCTGTACGAAATTTTGGATCCGCTTATTTCTCGTTTTGTCCCCCGTAAGAAAATTATTAATGTTGGGGATGAGATTTTCCTACCCTTACCCTTTCGTCGCAGATTGCGCAGGCTTTATCGTCGTTTCCATCTGCAGAACGATGTTTCTGTTCTGCCCTTGATTCGTGATATTTTTGATCGAGCTAAGAGATTGTCTGAAGAAAAACAGCTTGCCGAAGAGGTCCACTTTACGGAAAACCACTCGTTAAGTGTCTCGAAACTTTTCTCTAGAAAAATACGAACTCACTGAAAGACGCAGTATCCCATCCTTCGAGACGATCTCGGAAATCCCATAGTTGATGCCCAGTTAACCGCGGATAGCTTCAATGATTTCCTGTCCAAAACGTTTATTGAAGACTCGACCACTCCGCTTCCGACCATCCAGCCATTGACCGGGGCAGTTCTAGAAACTATAACTTTCACTCTGTGGGATGTGGCTGTTGCGATTCGCGTTTTCGTCAATCTTATAGTCCACGCCCTGATGGTGTCCCAGTAAGCATTTTAAAAGCCGATGCAAACACGATCTTCCCATCCCTCTTATGCAAGATATTTAATCTCGCTCTTGAAAGTGAAACTTATCCTACCTTATGGAAGGAATCACACATTTTGCCCATTCCTAAGCACGGCAAATCTACATCATTTGATGACTTTCGGCCAATAAACACGCTCCCCGCAGTTTCGAAGATCTTAGAGACATGGATCAAGGATAAGATGATGTGT